CCCCCCCCCCCCCCCAAGAGCCAGAGAAGCTGGTGCTCCATCCCCGCCTGCTCAGCCAAGCAGGGCTGACACACGACTGGGGTGACGCTGGAGACCTCCTCCTAGAACAGAAGAATCTCGCACACAGCCGGCTGCAGCTGATAGTGCCACTGTGTTAACCCCCTGGAAGAGGAACTCTGGAAAAGGGTCGCAGGTTTAGGGGGGCTCAGCTGCTCCTCGGGTCAAGGTCAGAGTAGCTGCTGCCCTTCAGAAAGTCCCCGGCCCCCTCCATCCCCGGAGGCAGCACTGGGGCCACCTGGATGGGAAAAGCCACGTGGCACAGTGAGTCTTCATGGGGCAGAGGTGGGATGCCCCTTCTCAGGGACACACACGCCTACCCTCAACACGAGGTTGGTTTCACACCAGCTCTTCAGGCTGGTCTTGGCTGCCTGATTTTAGTGTGTATGGCACAAGCAACATCATCCCTCGGGCGTGTGGTGTGACCAAACCTGCCAGCTCCGCCCGGCTAAACAGAGGGCACCGACACACAGTGCTGCCCACTGCTGCCTAACCAACGCAGGGGCGAGCAGGCGCTGTCGTGTCCCTGTCACGCCGCAGTTCAGTGCCCGGCTGAGGCTTTGTGCCAGAGCAGGGCCATGAACCACGCCTGGAGCAGAGCCAGAGGCTGCTGAGAGTGGCCGGAGGCACCGGTGGCCGTGCGTCGGGACACGCAAGGTTTGAGCAGAGCCAAGCCCTGGCTCACCAGCACATCCCCAGTGCAGACAGTTCAAGAGAGAATGGGGCTGTGCAAACCCCTTCTGCACCACGAGCAGTTGCTGAGCAGGGCTGCAACACCCCTGAGCCACCGCTACCCCCTGAATGTCAAAGCAGCCTGGGCAAGGGGGGACAGGCAGGACACAAAGCTGCCAGCCAGGCAGCCATGCGCTCACATGTGTCTGAGGTTCTGTAAAAAAATATAATATCTGTTTAGGATAAATAATCTCTATTTAGAATGAAAATAGGACACAGCCCCACCTCCCTGTCTCCCCAGCCCTCCCTGATACCCCAGGGCGGTGGGACAGAGCCACCTAAGCCCATCAGGGTGTGATTACTGGAGGACAGGACCCAAATAATCCTTTACTGCCTGCATTTTTTCTTGTCAGAATGACAAAAACCACCGGTTCCTCTGTGGCCCCCAGGTATGCAGTTCATCACCTCTGCCTGTTCCTGACCACAGCTTGGGGTGGCCCTGCTTGGGTCTTCATAGGATGGGAAGGATTAAATTGTGGGATTGATGGAAATGGTATTCCAGCAGCCTTCACCTCCAAACACACTGAAGGGGCAGCAGCACCCTCCGTTTCACCCTGGCAGCAGGATGGGATGGTGCCTGGCTGCATCAAAGCTGAAAGCTTCAGCTCCTGGTGCACACCCAGCCCGGCAGTGAGAGCCCACTGTCAGCAGCATCATATCTCCCCTTCCCAGCCTGCCTCGAAGCTTTAGTATAATTAGCGATGACTGTAAATAATACAAACAGCCAGGTAAATAACGCAAACAACTCAAATTGTATCACTGCCCTACGATCCTCTGCTGTTACCCAGATACTGTGATGACAGATGCGTTAGAAGAACTCAGTGTAAAAGGCCAGGGACACTAAATCAATGCACAGCACCACGTGCAAGACAGGCCATTGAAAACCTAGTGCTTCTTTTTGGTGCCAACAGTACTATCTGATGGGTTCTGTTGGAAAAGAAAGTCAAAAAAAAAAAAAAAAGGGGGGGTAAAAAAATTCACAGCATTAATTAATGGGTGAAATTCAGCCACAAAGGAGCTTTGCTACAGAGGCAGCAGACACAAGCCAGCACCATCTCAGCTCGCCCAGAGGCCATTCCTGCTTCCCCAGCCACAGTCCCCCAGAAGCTGCTCCTCCTGCCCTAGCCCAGGACCCTTCCCACCTCACTTTCCCTGCCCCAAGCACCCGAGGAGTTGGTGCTGCTCCATATCACCCCATTTCATCTCTCCCAGTAAAGCACACTTCTGTATTTTTTTTCCCCCTTTCTTGTGGTCTCGTGATCACTGAATGGTCCAATTGTTTCTGTGTGCAGTTAACTGACAACGCTGTTTTCTCCTAGTGCCCTAGAGACCAAATTGCAGTGTCAAAAATAAGTTGGTTTTAGGCTGCTTCAATTGCAGCTGAGTTTCCTGCCCTGACCCCCAGCCCCAACATATATAGTTATTTGTATAGCAAAGCCTAACTTTGGGCCTGGACCCTGCACAAGCAGTATTATGCTGCATTAGCAGTGAGATTTTTTTTCTACAGTAAGACTCGACTGGGTCAAGCATTTGGACCCAGAAGCACAAAACTATCCTACAAATGAGGCCTTTCTTAGAGCAGAGACAAAACCTACAGGTAGAAGTCAAATAACTAGGTGTTTACTCATAGCTTAGGTTACAAAATGATGAGTTCCCTCATGCTGTGCCTTCCACAACCCCAATCACCATCCACTTTAGCCACTGCATCCTGTCCCCATAAAGGGCTCCAAGCTCTTTGCTGGTGACAGTAGCAGACACCATGTATATTCAGCACGGATACCCAAGGAAATATATCACAGTGCTACTGCCTCTGCCTGGCCACACCAGGAGCTCTGAACCCCCTGGCTGATTCCAATCAACATTACAGAAGGCAAGCTTCTCAAGCCATCAGCCTCCCATAGTTTCCACAGAAATGGGTCCTTGGTACTGAGAAAAAAAGCAAACAACCCACGCAGCTCCTGGGCTAAACCATACCATGAGTCCACTTCTTATGAGACACCAAGAATCTATACATGATTTCCAAAAGCTTCACTGAAGATTTAGGCTTTATTTAGTCACCAACCTCAGCCAGCCACAAGACAAAATATACTTACAGGGCTGTCTGTGATTTTTAAGTGTATTTTAAAGTTTTTATGTGTGTATGTAAATGTATATAAAGTATATTTTAAAACTTTAGAATCAACTACATCTCCCTGAAATCTGCAGGCAGCCCAACCATGACCTAAAGCTCCCAATGACCTGGCAAGAGCCGCACGTTCCCAGAGCCCTCTTCCTTGTGTGGCTGGCTTCCAGGGGGCTTGGGAATCACGTCCCCTACTCGAGGGACAGCAGATTTCCAAAGCCTTTCCAGATGTTTATCGTGGCAACCTCAACTACAACTACTAACAGGTCCAATTAGCAGCCTGACCTGATCTGCATCTTGCAGATGGTTACAGTGCACAGGTGAGACAACAAAACAGTAGCAGGTCCTGCAAGCCAGTGAGATCATTCCACTCCTGTCCCTCCACACATGGTGCTGGCTGCTGATCCCCCCCCCAGCTTTCTACACATTCCGGTACCATCAGAGCAGCTCATGTGTTGAATGAACAGCTCAGACCAGCTAGGGCGTGATAGCCCAACACAAGGAGCAGCTGCTGGGCACCGGGCGCAGCCTTCATGAGCCAGGTCTGGCTGGTCCCCAGAGGGCTCAGCTCAGCGCTGCCCGGGGTGGCTTTGGCCAGGCACATCTTCACAGATCAGGGCTAAACTGCCAACCTTGGGCGGCACCAGGGATCAGGCAGACGGCACATTCTTGAGTGTGGGACAACACCCCGGGGAGTTCTATGCTGACCGAACAATACATATTTTATATATATATAGATATATATATAGATATATATATATATCTCTATATCTCCTTACAGGAGAAAATCTTGACTCATCTTTCCCCACTTCTGTCCCAAGCTTTCTGTCCATGAGCTAATCAAATTAAAACTCCTACATCAAGTCTTGCTTCTCAAAATTTTCTACAACATTAATTTGAAATCCAGTCACCCTGCACACTTAGAAGACGACACATTTTAGGAAGCAACGAGGAAGCAGCCATGCAAATCCACAGGAGACGCTGACAGAATGAAAGTCCCAATGGCAGATGTCGCTGACACTTACCTGACCATTGCTCGTTACTCATCAGAGCACATCTTACACACAACCTACACATCTGTGGCCACATGTGAAGGTTCTGCAATGCACAGGTGCACATGTATGCATTAGCCTGAACTCTCCATGCCACCGTGCAACCTGCACAGCTCAGCATTTAATTGTTCCATGGCCAGGGGGGAGAGGGGGGGAGAAAATTTAAGGAGCTGGAGGGATGAACCAGTTCATGTCCGTACGCCTCAAAGATCACAAAGAAAATGAGTCAACTTCAAACTATATTTCCAGACTTAAAGTTAGCCATGTACCCAGGCAACTCATTGAGAAATATTTATGTAAAAGCAGCCAATCTTGAATTAGTCTATTTTTCTAATGTCTATAAATCTGATGCTTTTCATTCTGCAGATTTATGCCATTACCATTATTTTTCTTTAAAAACTAACTCCATTGCCTGTCCTAGATAAATATAGATGCAATTCTGATCCGTATTTTGAAGGGTATTTCTTTCAAATCACCCTCTCTATTTAGCTATCCTAAGTATGGCAGCCTGGAACATTACAGTACTGAAGAGCTACAGAATTACTTGCACAGAGATTCTTGCAATGTTTCTAACCCCAAAATTGCCACTAATGCAAGAACACAATTAGACCGAGCATTTACAGAGCACAACAAATATCTGACTACACAGTGCATTTATGTACTAGCAGGGGTTGAGAGCTTCCAAGTAATCGAAGGGATTTATTTTAGGGAAAGACGTGTGACTATGTATACTAAACGGCTTAGATGAACTCAACCAAACAGTTCAGCAAAGCAGATGTCCAGGCAGCTCGTCAGGCGCCTGCAAGCAGTGTTTAATGCATGGGCAAAGCGTGCTACAATGCTGTGGGCGGCTTACATCCGATATGAAAACATTCACAACTCGCTGCCCAACGAGTGAATGGCTCGCTGCGGTCACGCACCAGTGAGGAGCTTCTGGTTTAGTTCTGCAATGAACTGCAATAACCAGTCCCTGGGGAACAGGAGTCACAGGCTACGCAAATCAAGTTGGTTGGTGTTAGCTATTGATACAGACACTCGAGAGCAGCTCCCGAGGGAGAGATGGTGGGGGCAGTGCTGCTGCTGCTCCTCCCTCGTGTCCGCAGACAGCGAGCCCGCAAGCGGCACCCCACAGCAGGGACCAGGGCACACACACACACGTTCACGAGGCGGCTGCGCCCCAAGCCTTGCTTCTTGACTGAAGCACCTCAACAGCTCGTCATAGACCATCGTGCCTGTCCGGACCTTGTTAGTGGGGACAGGATGAGGCCACCCCTTCAGCAGGGACAACACACAGGCTGGGTATCATGCTGTTCACCATCCCAGCCCCTGCAGTCACCCTTACCTCCGTCAGCGTACGTCTCGGTGCCGTAGCCATCCTGCAGGCCGTTATTCCAGGTACCTTCATACTTAGCTCCGCTGCTCATGCTCTGCCTCGCACCGTACCGTCCCTTAAAGCCATGGGTCCACTCGCCTCTGTAAACCCACCGTCCTTTGGTCTCGATTCCGAGGCCATGCCTCTTGCCTTGGGACCAGTAGCCTTCATAGGTGTTGCCGCTGGGCCACGTGTATATGCCCACCACTTCGAAGCCGTAGTTCCAGGAGCCCGAGTACTCGCCCTGGCCCTTGGGGCCGGTGCAGATGCCGTGCCCGTGGGCTTTGCCCCCTTCCCAGCCCCCGCAATAGGCGCCTCCATCATCGAAATCAAACCTGCCGCCGCTCATGGTACCCCGCGGAGCCCCCTCAGCCGGGCAGCAATCCCAGGGGCAGAGCTCCGGGGCGCGGGGGCCGCTGCCGCATCCCCGAAGGTGCCGGGTTGGGCGCCGGGAGCAGCCGCTCCTGCCTCGCCTCGCCCGGCCGAGGGACCGGGGAACGGGAGGAAGGAGAAATTGGAGGGAGGGGAGAGGGGTGGGCCGGGCCCGAGCCCCCC